CTCAAATTCTCCATCCTTCTGTTTCAGCCTCCCGAGTGCTGGTATTATAGGCATGTGCCACCTTACCCAGCTTATGTGGGCCTTCTTACACCTATCTCACCAAATCGAAAGTTCCAAGCCTTGTGAAATACTCAGAATAAGCCCAGACCTCAGTTTCCTGAGCTGAAGGCCACACTCTCCTTTAAGCTCTCAGGCCCTCTAACTTGGAAAGGGCCTGATTATCACAACCACAAGCCCAGCAAGTCCTAGTCAAACCCTTGGTATGAGCCATCCTGCAGCAGGTACACTGCTCACGTGCTCCATTTGCATTTAAGCTTTTACCTACCAGACAAGCCAGCACCCGGCAGGACCGGGCTTCCTCAGGCTTTCATGGGAATGTGGGTGAAATCCCCAGCTGGCATGGCCAGGGTGAGCGAGGCCTGGAACCTTTTATGTTCTTGTGATTATTTAGAGGGCCAACAAATCCCACCGCCTGCTGAACTGGGGACAGAAGGCCAGCATCTGAGCCATTAGCCCTTCCTAAGTGACATGCTTAGCCTCCTGGCTGCATGGCCTAAAGCAGAAGCTTTGCTCACTCGTGGTTACAGCACTTTCTCATTCCGTCTACTGACTGATTTTATAAATATCTACTATGTGGCAGGATCCTGCCTGACACAAGTACTAAATATGGCAAAGTACTTTCCCCTGGGAATGCCACATTTTAGGGGACACAAAGGAAAATAAGTGGACACATAAATGCATAATGAACCGTAGCAAGTGCACGGACCAAAACCAGACAGGTGTAGCAGCCAACAGCCCTTTTTTCTAACCCTCTGCCTTATGCCCAAGCTGTGGACCGCAGGCCCCTCTTTCTGGTGGGACATTTTCATTTGGGGTTTCAAGTACTTTCTTTCCTGTCAGGAAGGCCAAGTGAGGCCATGTTCACTGGCGTTCGACAAACAGAAGAGAAAACTCAGCTCACGAGGCTTTCTGCCACTGGATTATACTCACGGCTCCCACCAGCCTTCATGGGGACCTGAGCCCTCCGGTCCCAGAATGGGGGCTCTGAAGGTGCTCTTCCTGCTTTTTCATCTGCCAAACTGCTAACTCTGCAAAGCCAGTATCCTCATCCCAGAAAGTAGGTTCTCATTGCCATATTCTCCGTAATTAGACATTTTGACTCAGTAGGCATAACTTAGCAGCGATTGTGGAAACTGAACATGGGAAACTAGGACTAACATGAGCATAACTCACAGCTATTTAGTCAAACGAGGAGTGTAGCATCTCCAGGCTGACACTCCCATGCCGGGCGCTGTGGAGAAGCAAAGGCCAGAGGGCCTGGACGCGAGCCTCCCTTGGCTCCATCTGTCTGGCAGGAGCCAGGGGCATGCACAGTGGTGCCATGCTGCCACTGCTCAGTGGGTCCCACTGAGCAAGCAGAAGAAGTCCTGGTAGATTGTATAGAGGGGGACATTCAAGGTTTGGGGACTAGTGATGACTTCGCAGTGGCTTTTGAGACTTGCATCAACGGCCTCACTATGTGGTCACTCCCGTGGCAAGAACGACATAACACAGGTCACTTGAGGGCCCCTGCACTCTTGCTGAGACCACCACCTCCAGAGCAACCACTCCAAGCCCCAGGTGCAAATCCTCTGGTTTCCTGCACCGCCACCTCCACCCTTTACTCACTATGGACTTCGCAAGGTGCACTGGTTAGCTGCCCAGCTCATCTCCCTGCCCTGTACCTGGGGCCCAGGGCTACTCTGCCACACAGCAGCCAGGGGAGGACAGATTGAGCACCTCTTAGGGAAAGCACCCCGAGAGCCAAGTCCATGCCCCCACAGCAACCCACAAACCCTTCACAGCCCAGCCCAAGTCCCCATCTCACCTAGTGCTTTTCCCTCAGCTCACTTCAGTCACACCATTCTTCCTGCTGCTCCCCAGACAAAGCTAGCTTCTCTTGCCCCAGGGCTTTTGTGCATCCTTTCCCTCTTCCTGGAATGACATTCTCAGAAACAACACGCTTCTTTCCTTTACTCCTTCCAGTTCTCTCAAAAACTACCTTCTCAACAATCCTCTCTAAAATAAGCCCTTTGCCTTTCTCCTCCATGGCGCTTCTCATCAGCCAACATATATTTGTCCATTTTCTTGGTTGATGTCTATGTCCTTTCCAGCACACAAATGCCAAGAACCTAGCTACTGTATCTAACTCGCTCAGCACCTAGGATAGAACCTGGCATAAAGCTGGTGTTTAATAAATACAACCAGAGTGGCCCACAACTCTAGTGGGGTGGCACTGCCCACCTCCATCCCTCTGCATTTACTGACTTCCAGATGCCTTTCTGGGCTGGGCCTCTCATCAAGGTCCCGCCTCTCAGACTTGCAGGTCTCCTCATCAAGAACCCCCTGCTGGTTCATGACTCATCACTGTTTTCACATTGCAGCCACTTCCAGCATTCTCTATCACCGTGGATGGTACCAAACACCCCTCCCCCGCACCACTTCACTGTGCAGACCAGACCCGAGGGTCATTCTGGAAGTCTCCTTCCAACTCCACTGTCACCCAGACCTCTGGCTTTGTTCCTTCTCTACAGTCATGGCTCTTATCTGAGCTACCCACATTCTTCTGGACTACTGCCATGGTCTCATTACTGGTCTTGTACCTCTGCACCCTCCACCTGTTTTCTCCACAGTAGCCAGTGGGATCCTTTATAGCACACCTCTAATCATGAGACTCCTGTGCTGGAATCCATGGTTCCTTTTCCTCTCCAGATAATGATGAGAATCTTTAACATGGCCTCTGTAAGCAGGGGAGATATTCAACCAGCAGGCACCAATACAGTTGCACAGACTGTTCACTGCTGAAATACTTCTGCTCCTCTTGGTCAACAGACATTGTTTCAAACTCTTTGGTACCACTTACATCTGCTACCCTGGCCACTCTGTGCCATCTTCCAGATCCCTTCCCCTTAACAGTAACTCCAGGGTTAACAGCTAGAGCAGTAGGTGACACACACACACACACACACACACACACACACACACACTACACCACACTGTCTGGACCCCAGAGGGCTGCTGTCCTAATTGTTGAATGTGCTCTTGCTTTGCCTGTAAGTTTCAGCTGGATCCTAGCTCTACCTCATCCCATCCCTCTTGCTTCTGTGCTTGTCCCACTCTGACTTTCCTTAAATTCTGTTTTTTCCCCTGTCTCTGGGACTTTGTGCAGGCTTCCCTTCCTTCCCCTCACCATCTCTCAGCTCCACTATCTCTTGTTCATGGTAGCCTCTGACCTCTACCTCCAGGTCAGGCCTTTGACCTATTCTCAAAATATTTCTAGGTCTTTCCTTCATGGCACCTAACTTAGTTTTGGTGTTGCATTATCTATTTGCATGGTTATCTGATGATCAGCTCTCACTATCAGCAGGCTACAGCTCAGACAGGTAGAGGATCAAGGCTTCTTTTACTTTTCTATGCCAGTACTGCAGCCCAGTGCTACACATGCATGTAGAGAGGAACAGGCAGACACTGGTGCAGGGTCCTAAAGTGCAAGCAATGCTTAAATGAACAAGAGAACCAGGCATTTGTATAAAGACGTGTGTGTGTGTGTGTGCACTTAGGTATGAATGTCTTCTATAGGCAGAAGAATGAAGATGATAAAACTGACAAATAGGATCTATGCAAAAAGAAGCCTGCCCTGAATATGCACATCTCTTGTATAAGCCAAGTTCCTCTTGCAGCATTCCTGGGGTTTTACACCCCTCCCCCGTAGCACCATCTGAGAGGAGGATCATGGGAGGTGCTACCACCATCTCAGTCCCTCTGCTCAAAAGATGCAAGCTCAAAGCCAGGTCCCTGCCATGAGCCTAGTGCTGTTTGTTTTCAAATTCTTAAATGGTGAGAGTTTCATAAAGGAAAAAGCTGCAGAGCCATCAGGGAGCTGGCCCTGTGACTGTCACAAAGCAGTGGCACTGTCCCAACAGGGCACTAACTCATTCTATGAGGGCACAAGGCCAGCCACCAAGCCCTTCCCCAATATCCCTCTCTCCATTCAGGTGCAGCTGGTAAGGCTCTGGCCTCTCTACCCAGCTCCTTTCTAGTGATATCCAGCTGCAGCCACCTGCCGCTGTGCAGTCATCGGCCTAAGACATGAACAGCATGGCCCTGAGTCCTGGCTGATGTAGCCTAGGGTGTGGCCAGCTGCAGGGGCTAGGCACATTGGGGTTTCTATACCCCTCTACCCTTTCCTTGGAGCAGCTGGGTCTTTGAAAGGCAGAGGCTGATCACATCTGAGGCTGGAGCTCGTCAGTGTCTACAGGAGGAACTGCATCTTGTCACTGTGCTGAGCTCATCAGTAATGTCAATAAAGTGCAAATAATGCCTGGTAGCCTGTAACCCTCTGAGCCCAAAATGAATGGAAGAGGAGTCTGGGTGCCTAAGCAACCAGGAGGCCATACCCACAAGAAGCCAACTGGATGAAGCAATCCCCTGGCTGTCACCAAAACCCTCCAGTTTCACACAGAAAATGAGCCCTGGTTCATTCATTCTGCATGCTCAGCTGTCCCCATTTCAGCTAAATGGCTTCCTCTGAGAGCTGTAGACTTAATCCCTCTCCCCCCAGAGGCCATGCTGCAAAGACACAGGTTGTGTGTGCCTGGCCTGTGTGGTTGAGATACGGAGGGCAGCACCCTCAGGTTGTGCCCCACTTCTGGGGTACAGTGAGAAGGAGCCTGGGCCCTGTCCAGAGCCCTTTTTGGCAGGACTGTCACTTGTCCCCACCTTCCTGCTTCTGCCTCTTATCACCAAAGCAGTAAGTTCAGAGCCTCCATCTGCATCCAACCTTCTCTCTATAGGGTGCTTAGCCCAGTAACCACAGCGTTCCACTGCCCTGCACTGGAGGGGTTGGTACTTCTGGGTGAGGGGTGAAGAAGGGGAGGAGCTGGCTTGTTCTCTTCCAGCCTGCATACCCAGGTCCAGTCACCCATACCCGTCACTGCCACAGCTCTGCTTCATAGACACACCTGAGCAACTTGTCCTCTCTCATCTTCCCTCTGTAGGTTTCCGCTACAAGATCAACCAAACCCTGATGGGGTCTTGGCCCTGGGAAAGAGAGCAGGTCAAATTCTGCATTTTTAGCAGGGCCTGGAACAGCAGGAAGAGGATAAGGGGGTAGGGGACAGAGGCATACTGCCCATGGAAAACTTGACCAGTGTTCTGGAGACTTGTCCCTGCTGGTCTGCAGACATCAACTAAGTCTCTACCAAGTAGGAAAAGTGCCAGGATGTTGTGCTGAGAGAAAGAAGCCAGAAAGGACAAATACTATCGGGTACTACTTCTAGGAGGGCCCAGAGTTGTCAAATCCAGAGACTGAACATGGACGGTCTACCAGGGGCAGGGGTGGGGCATGGGGACAGAACTTAATTGGCGAGATGCAGAGAGTTCTGGAGATGGGCAGTGCTGGTGGATTAGTAACTGACTGTGTTCTTAAAGAACCATAAAGATGGTAGATTTCTGTTTTGTGTGTTTCACCACAACTAAAAACAATCTTTAAAATGGCTAACAAGGCTTTAAAAAAAGAGTCACAATTGGGGCTGGGATGTAGCTCGGTGGTACAGCGCTTGCCTAGCATGCGTGAGACCCTGGGTTCGATCCCAGCACCAAAAAAGACAAAA